ACAATGGCTGCTCGAAAGAGGGGAAAGCAAAACATTTTCAGGCCCGCCGCGTCTAGCAAAAAATATGAGAAAAAAATTATTAAAAATTCGGAAAATAGTTGAAAGTGAAGAAAAACTCAACAGAAAGGATGCTAAAGCGTCCGTGGTAAGTTTGATGTAAATTAAGTTCCTGGTTACTCAGTTCTTGAATTAAAATATCGGGGTTATTTAAATTATGAGAGAGGGGTGAGCTGGGGAAAAAGTTTGTGTTAATCAGTACCCAGTTTGGAACCGCAGAGAAAACCAAGGGAAGGCAGATGTATTTTTACAAAATAATTATTTGTGTCACTGGTGATATTAGCGTCACGGTGCGTGTCCGCAGATATTAAAGACTAGAGGAAACAGCAGAAGGAGCGAAAGTTGAGAAGAGTTAACATAGCCTCCTCACTAAGTTTATTCTTTAATATAATTACAACGACAGTGCGACGAGGACTGCCAAGGACAGACGCACTTGGTTTCAGCATTAATGCCAATTTTCCTTCTATTTGCGATCATATTTATTTTTTGCGTCTTGTCGCCTACACACTTAAACATAAGTAGTGTCAACAACATATCCTTATCGATTAAAGCATCTCCTTTCCAAAAGTCTAACGCCAAGTGGAACCATTAAGAGTGTGGTTTTGTCATGCTTTTTCACTTTTGCAGTGTTTTCTGTATCGCAGTTCTGTCCACTCCAGGTATCGATCACGTTGTCATGCGGATGACGGCTTGGCTGAGACCCGCTGTAAGGCGAAATTTGTGAAACGACAAGGAGGGTATTTGTCTATAAAGTAGCAAAATGGAGGGAGAACTTAAGGCAAACTAATTAGGTAATACTTGAGATTTGCTTGTGTCGGCTTGCGCCAGGATCTGTTGAAAACAGTTTCTTGAAAGAGCAAAAAGTCAACTTGTGTTCAGTTTGATTGGTGTGGCAGGTTGCACTGTGCATGTTAGTAAATCGTAGGCTATTTACAAAATCGGCTCCTAAAGCTGCTGCTGATATCAGCGAGGTCTGCAGGAGCCTATCATCTCTGCTGTTATTGTGTGTCACAGGACAAACTAGTGGTTCTGTGTACGCTAAGGCTTTGGGATCAGATGCTTCTTCCATCACAAAAGTGTTTTTTTTAAGGTTAATAGTCTGGCTAGTGACTTGGTGTCGGTGGTTGGAAAGCTGATACAACAACAGTTCCTGGGGGGAAGTGTGTTGTCCGCGTTGGTCTCTGTTTACGCCTGTCTTATAACTTAAAACAACTGGGACTTCACTACAACTGGGTTTGTATTGTAATGTGTTTGTATTTTGTTAATATGAAAAGGCTGGGTATAGGGTGTAATCTATCTGCAAATCATCAGTCCTCATCAATCTGATTGAAATGAAAATGTAATGACTTGTTGTTTTAAGTTTCTAAAATAATGAATACAAAGAATGAAAACGTTTCCTTCTTTAGATGAACCTCTATGCATTTAAATGTTTAAATGGGCTAATGGCACTTTGAATCACTTGCTTCTGTTGTTTTGGGGGCTGTTGATTTAATGTATTTCTCCTCAGTTATTTTACCATAAATTCACCAATCAAAGCATTTCACTTTTTGTCAAGAGATAATTTATTGCAGCCTGAACAAGCTAAAGTGTGTCAAGTCTAATAAATTAGTTTGTGTAAAAGCTACAAAAGTTGTTGGTCAACAGGGTTTTTTTAAGCAAATTCTTAACTCAACTAAATTGTTGTCAACATCAGTTACAAAGCTTTTTAGTAGTTCTGCCGGAAATAAATAAAAAAAATTGTGACAAATTCCACAATAGCTAATATCAATTGTCTATAAATTATTGTAGGCCAGATTGGTACATGTGTTAAAAATTAAGATAAATATCCATTCAGCTAAAAAAGAAACATATTTTATGTCATTCAAATTCTTAAGAGTTTTAACTATCTTTGTTTTTCCAAAGACTAGGCAACATGAATTCATACAAACGTTAAATTGGTTACATCCTTTTGAATTGAAGGAAAAGATGAGTAAACCTGTTGCAAATTATTAAATTTCAGATTGTATTTCTGTTGAACAGATTTATCAGTCTTTTCCTCAATTGGAAGAATGATGTCATGTGTCATTGTGATGATGCTGCATGGACTTTCAGTTTTGCTATTACAGATGAATGAATATTTTTATGAATCCTCAAACTTTGGATTTTCAATCATTTGAGAATGTGTGATGGCCGATGTGATCATTTTGTTTCTTCCTGCTGAATATATCTTGTTTGTACAGAGAACTGTTTAACGTATCCATGTTTTATGGATTCAAACCTTTTTGGGGTTAAGCCATTACGCTTTGAAACAGGATCATATTTTGATTCTGGGAACTTAAAGTCTCAGTTTACAGGTTTCTCTAGAGAAATACAACAAAGTTTTACAGGGAAATAATGTTTCTGTAGTGGAAGCTGGTTTACGGTAGAAGATCTAATGTGTGCAGGCTTTCTGAACAAAGCATTATTATTTAGGGAGGTGCGCGGAAATGGAGGAGAAGAAGAAGATTAATAAAATTTCATGCTCGGTCGGGATGGTATTTAATGAAACCCGGCTTCTTGACGGTTCGTAAGATTAACAAGTGAAGCGTCTTCAGCATGAAAACCAAAATGTATTATGATCTCATTTCTGTTTTAACCAATTGAATGCCAGTAAAGCTGTGTCTAGTGAGCCTCAGGTTATGTATTATGATTGTCAAGGATTGTTAACACTCCTGTTGCTCAGGCTGCAGAGTGTATGTGTTGGCTTTGTGATCCCCTTCTCCACCTTTCTATACATCTTTATTTCAAAGTGTCCCTGCAATAGCTTAACCCTCGATTTCTAGTGATGCTACCTGGTATTTCAATTTCATGGCTGGTAGAATTTGTGAGTGTAGATGGGTGATAAAAATGAGCGGTGTCATTTCAATTCTCAGATCCTCAAGTAAGTTGAAGTGTCCATGGGCAAGGTTCTTAGCCTCAAAATGTTTCCTGAATGCTGAGCTATTGGTGTGTGATTGTGCATGAGCGTAGATGAGCAGTTACCTTGCAAGGTATTCACTTTGAAAATTGGAAATAATGATAATAATCAAGGTGTTTATATTTGTCAGAAACAATCTATTTGTTGTTTATGCCTTCCATTTTTCCACCCATAGAGTTTAAAACCAAACTTTTTTTTGTATCAAATGAACTAGAATTAAACCAAACAAATGACGGCAGATATGTGTTTGATTTGATATTAGCTTCTTGTCAGACATGGCCTGAAAATGTTCCTGCATCAAAGCCGCTCCATTTGAGACATAAAAAAATTAAAAACAAGATACAAAGTTTCTTTAAAGAGGACATTTTATACCCCTGTCTACCTTTTCAAACAGTCTCCTGTAGTCTAAATGAAACATCTGTGTCATGATTTGGTTTTGTATTTTGTATTTCAGTTTCCCCGTTTTATCCCAGTGTTGTTTGTTTCCCTTGTGTGTTAATGTTTCCTAGTGTTGATGGTTTCCTAGTTTTGCCTTCAGTGTTTTCTGTTTTATTTTGTCATTAATTATCCTCGTGTGTCTCTGTGTTCTAGTGTGTTTTGTTAGACTCTTGAGTTCTGTGTGTCTTTAGTGTTTCATGATTTATTTTGTATTGTCCTCAGTGTTTCTGGTCTTGTGTTTCTCCCTGCCTTGATTGCCCTGGTTGTCTTCACCTGTGTCATTAGTCTCACCTGTGTTTTATTACCCCATGTCTATTTAGTCTCTGTGTTCCTTCCCTTGTGTTGTCAGTTCATTGTATGTTGTAAGTAGCCAGTGTTGATTGTTGTATGTTGCAGTGTCAGGTTCTGCTCGTGCTCCTGTGTGGCTCCCTGTTTTTTGATCCCTGTGTTTTTTGTTGAACTTTTGGAAGTACGTTTTTGTTTGCCTTTGGCCTTTCTGATTATTAAATACTTTTAGTTTATTCTGCACTTGGGTCCACCTCTCCAACTGTTCATGATAAATATAACATGAATCAAGCACCAGAGGAGGTTTGTGACCCTGTATAAACCAGCTCTCTCAGAACGCTCCGTTTTGGTGTGTGTGTCTCTTTAAATGTAATGAGGCCCCCCCCCCGAGTTTTCCCCGTAGACATCACTCCTCTGTAGCGAGAATAAATATGGCAGACTTGCGCAACATTTGTGTTCTGGGGGTGGAGTCCATGGGTGGAGATACCAGGGGAGGGAGGGATTTTTTTTTTACATCACAAGTTGAGCAAATTTGAAACGGAGCATTTTTCTCTGTGTTATAAGACCACAAACAAAGGACTAGATGGATTTATTTCACATTTTGTGGGTCGGAAGACTCTCAGGTTACCCAAATATATGTTCAAAAACACTGTACAAGTGAATTTTTCATAATATGTCCCCTTTAATTTGTGAAAGACTCCCTGACCGTGAATATACTTTATCTCTGTTATTGTAACTGGCATCTCAATCAGTTTCAAAAGAAAGAAAAACTTACTGTTCCATTTTATCATTTAGGTCAGATTAAATTCATCAAGCTCAAAATACTTTTTGGTTTTAATATGTGAATATTATTTCTAGGATTGTTAATCTTTTTATGTAATAGTGCAGTTTCTTTTATCATATATATTTTCCAGAATATCACTTCCATGACATGTATTTAAATATCCAAGCTGGTATCATCATTTTGAGACCATTCTATCTTTATTAAGACCTCCATTCATGGTTGTAATTATCTTACTTTGAATTCAAGATTCTGATCATGTTGACAGCTGGTTTTGTAAACCTTTAGTTAACTAAGCTAGTTAAAAAGCAGTTTCAAAGTATGAATCATTCAGAATCACCTTCGTTAGGCTCAGCAAAGGCTGCTGAGAGAGAACGTTTCCCTTTATGGAATCGTTTTGAGTAAAGTTTTTGATTTAGATGTTTAGATCCAGCAACCTGAAACTGAATCGTTCTTCTAATTTTCTCTTTTTTTTCCTTCCTTTACAGGCCCCTGTGTCTGGGCAGTGTTGAGAACAGAAAACTGGATAGAATAATTGCAACAGTACTGGTTGGGCACTGGGCCTTTGTCCATGTAGCTGGTCTGCCTTAGAGTGCCATGGCCACGGGAACCCAGGACCATCGTGACCACGTCCTGGAGAAAGCCAAGCTTGTGCCACCCATGGGGAGGCGCAAGAGAACAGAGGGAAAGCCGAAGAAGAATTTCTCCTGCCAGGAGTGTCAGAAAGCCTTTAACAGTCTGGAAAAGTTGAAGGTGCATTCGTACTCTCACACAGGAGAAAGACCCTACCGCTGCTCCCACCCCGACTGCACCAAGGCTTTTGTCTCCAAATACAAGCTGCTACGGTACAGACAAGCAGCAGTACATATTAGACTGCAGCATGTTGCTTTTCTCTTTACTTCTTTGGTAAAATAGTATTCAGTAGTCGTAAATGAATGTGATGATGTTTTTAGGACTTGTGTTTGTGTCTTGTGTAAAGCATGCCTAGTTAAAACATGATTGCAACAATTCTGAGTGCTCATCGAATGTGTCTGTGTTCCAAGGCATATGGCAACTCACTCGCCAGAAAAAACCCACAAGTGTTCATACTGTGAGAAAATGTTCCACCGCAAGGATCACTTAAAGAATCACCTACACACTCATGACCCGTATAAGGAGGCATTCACCTGTCAGGAGTGTGGCAAGAGCTACAACACCAAGCTGGGCTTCAAACGCCACCTCGCCCTCCATGCTGCCAACAGTGGAGACCTTACCTGCCAAGTGTGCCTGCAAGCGTTCCCAAGCACCGGCGTTCTACTGGAACACCTCAAAACACACGCTGGTAAATCATCTGGTGGGACCAAAGAGAAAAAGCATCGCTGTGAGCATTGTGAGCGGCGATTTTACACCCGTAAAGATGTGCGACGCCACATGGTGGTGCACACTGGTCGCAAGGACTTCCTTTGTCAGTACTGTGCCCAGCGCTTCGGAAGGAAGGACCATCTGACTCGTCATGTCAAAAAGAGCCACGCCAAGGAGCTGCTAAGGGTAAAAACTGAGCCAGCTGATTCGCTGGAGCCCGTTGTTTATGACTTGGTATCTGGGGGCATCAAGGATGAGCTCCCAGGGATGGTGATGTCCAGGCCACATCAGCTCAACATGTACACAGGCCCCGTCCTGGACACAGAGTCCTTCCCCACCTCAACACACCCTTTTCCTTTAAAGTATGCGCTGGGCTCCAACTTTACCTCATACACCTTCTCCTCACAGGAGCGGGAGCAGAATCTAAAGGGAGAACTGGAGACCTACCTGATGGAGCTGCAGAGCAGCATGCCCTCCTCATCCTCTGCAGCACAAGAGCCCCAACTCTCCTCCAAACTTGAGTTAGATACTCAAGTGGGTGTACTAGAGCAGGCAAGCCAGGAGGTATCCCTGTCCAAAATATCCACTTCAGTGGCAGCAGCCACTGCAGGAGACTCTCTGGCTTCGTCCTCCTCTCTGATGGACTTCTCACAGCTTTTTAACTTTCTGCCGCTCAACGGGCCTCCATACAACGCAGCAGGGGGGCAAGGTGTCACCTATACACCCAGTGAAGAATCCACACCCCTGGTCCAGCTGCCGCCCCAGCCCCCTGAAGGGATCGAGACTGCAGAGGGTTCTCTTCAAGGACTCCCCTCCTCTTTCATATCCAACCTGAGCACACCTACCACACTGCCCCGCTTCCATCAAGCTTTTCAGTGATCCAGTATGTACTGCACAAGGCACACATGCACTCACACATACACAGAGACAACATACAAAACACAATCAAAAAAAGGAAAAAGTGTACAAAACACATGCTTAGCTACAAAAGCATACCAGTTAGCACTGAAACTAGATGCCACTGATAATACAATAAAATATATTTCTCTCCATTGAGCAGACAGTTAGACATACATGATGATTAGCCCTAACATCAGCATGTACACACACACACACACACACACACACACACTTAAAAGGCTAACTAATCTATTATTTTTCCTGTTGGGATATTTTCTTTTTAGCTATCAAGCTTTTGGATTGACAAGTTGGCAAATCGCCTCCCCCACTTTTTTCTTAAAGACATGTCCAGATTAACATCAGTAAAAATTGTCCTTTGTCTGGGTGTTTAAGAAACAATGTCCAAATTTTCAGTCTTGCAATTAGCAAGTTCTAAACACATCATGTGTTGTTCTAATCTCTAGGATGATTTTCTATTCAGAGATCTGCATGCTACACTGTATATTAATATCTTTAATCACAGTACAAGAAGCAGAATTCAACCATGATCTTTGCTCATTAAGGTCGGGGAAGCTTAAACTCTGTGCTTTGCCGCTCTGTGCAAGTTAAAAAAATAATAATACAAACACATTAATGGAGTAAAAAGCTGTTCTTCCACAACAATACATAAACAACCTAACAAGAAATTGCGAGCTGTGTTAGTCTATACATAAATACGTCTTCTGAGAGTTAGATCATTTTCATTGATGTGGCATTTTTCTTTTCTCTGCTTAACCCCAAACTCTTCAGGATAGATTGATCCTTAGTATGCAAATTTCACGATCTATATTATTTTTACATGCAGCACTTCGAGCTTTAGGATATCATTTGTTGTCACAGTTCATCATCATTTCATAATTTTTCCCCTTTTGTGGCAGGGACCAACTTCTAGTTTTGGAATGTTTTTGCTCATTTACACATAATATCCAAATATTATTCTATACTACAAATGGCTGTGGAATAAAACCCAAAACCATAGCAGATGCTGGATGCATCATTTTCCAAGGCAGCGAATTAAATTCATTTAATTTAAAACATGGAAATCAAAAATGTCAGTTACTTCATGTCTCATCATCTCTGGTTGTATTTTTGTCAACAACCCGACAAACGCTCATACCATTGTGTTCCTACAGTATGCAGTACAGTGAGGTTAAAAGCAGATCTAATGTTTTAGGGTAACACAGCCAGGCTTCATGTTTAAGACAGTTTATTTAGGGTACCAACAGCTTAAGATGAAAGGTTGGAATATCTTAAATATCCTGTAAAGAAATTAAGGTTTGATTAAATTATATCTGGTTAGAAGTAAATAAGCAAAAACATGCAAAATATTGACGTGTACATTTTCATCAATCTATCAAGCAGAAGTTTATCCACATTAATGCTCTGAGTAGGAACGGTAAGCAATTTTTCTTGTGCTTAACATTTTATGGTTGAAGTGAGTAGATTTCCTAGTTTGATGTAAATTCCCAAATAGTGGTGACGTTGTCATAGGAGCGGAAAATTTGTCTTTTTTTGTTTTGTAGTATCCCCTTTTCTTTCTTGTCAGTAGTCAACGACTTGTGCCAAAAGTTAAACTTTATTTATTTTTTTTGGATAAGAGTAATAGGATTGTCTTGTTAAGGAATAATGGGCATTGACTAAATGTTTAGAACCAAAAGGGAAGAATCTCCATCTGGATTCAAATTGAGGCAGTCGAGTTGCTCTTTGGATAGGCAAACACAGAAGCATAGCACTAACAAGCAAACCCCCTCCTCTTGCTCTCATCTTAAACAATAAAGCAGCCTTTATTGTGATTGATCTTAAAATCCTAAACGCAAAAAAGCTTTGCTGTGGTGTTTTAAGTTTTTAGTTTCAGTGGTGCCTCAATTGCATTATTATATTTTTACTTGACCTCAGCTTGACTTAAAAACGCTGCATCCATCCCCCAGAATACAAATCATCTCGGGTGATTAAACAATAAACATGAAAATAAAATCACAAGGCTTATATAATGTACCATATTTGAAGTCTGAAGTGTCTATCAGGAAAAAAGCTGGCCCTTGTACAAATGTAGTTGATGACCCCTGGTGTACTTGTAAAATATGGCAATGTGGGACTCAACATTATATGCAGTTATTTTGACCAGATGTGCAAGTACCGCATTGCACACCTAGTTTGATAAATAAGTCCATATTATTTTTCTAAACATCAATTAAACAAATCAATTCAGAAGATGGAATATTTCATGATTAAATAAGTGAGACCTTTGGTGATTTAAAAAAAAAAAAAGCCTGGCGATACACTTTTTTAAAAAAGAGTTCATTTAACTTCCAGAAACAATTCAAGTGAGTCACCCCCTAAAAAAACGATTTTATTCCAACCTAAAGAACATTTGATTGGAGCTTCATTTTAATTGCACTTTAATACTCATGGTTGTATGCTTCCAGAAAATGTCATTTTCATAATCCAGAAAAAAATACAGTGATACTGTACATCATTTTGAGGTTAAAAAAAAAAACCTAATTAAAAAAAACAGCTATCCACTGAGGCCTCCAGGATTTGCCTTTTATACTTGAGCTTCCTGCCTTTCTGAACGAGCCTTTCACTTTCTTCATCATTGACCAAAATGTTAAAGATGGGGGAAGTTACATTTTTGGGGTCTTTGGCCGTAGATCTACCAATGATTTTAGCAAGAAAATTAACATTGTCTCCTTTTTAATTGCTTTTAGTGCCCTCTAACTCTGCACTTAGCTGTATAGGGCAAACTGCCATATGATGAACAATCGAAGACTCTAGTTGTGCTTGGGCATATCCCACATGCAAATGTGCAAAACTGCATGAATTTAAAGTATGCTGGAACAGAGCTGAGTTTCAAAGCTAACCTCCCGAATGAAAATATTTATTGATAAAGCCAATCATTACTGTTTTTATTCCTACCTATTTAGGATATGTAAATGCCTTTAAATACAGTTTGACAGTAAGATTCAACATCTTTAGGAATGGTTGTTTTGTTATTCTTCAAGTGTCACTGACTAATCACATAAAGGTGTTTTTCTAGTTGCCCTTATCTACTCATGCAGACAATTTGAGATATCTGCCATGAGACTGGCATTACTCCAATACAATATTGGTTAGACCCTGAACTGAAAATGTAATAGGAATTTTGTTCTTCATCGATCACTCCACCTCTAACTTTTTCCTTCCAATGCTGATAGTAGTGTGCCTTGCCTGTTAAGAGGTTTGGTATGAGGGGTTCACATGCATCAGACTTTTAATGCAGAAAACAGGAATCCATGGACTTCCAATTGATTCCACCTTGAATAAGTTACACTTGTGTTTTCCTTTCTTTATTCTCTATTTACAGATTCTATACAAAAAGAACAACCTGTACACACAAGACAAGACTGTGAAATAAGTAGTGTTCTGGTTTGCATTGGAAGTACATTTGTAGTCCGCCTGCAGGGGGCCTGTCCAGACTTTTTTGACTTGGGTGGTCAACTGGGGTGTGACTTGTGCAGGGGTGGCCTGAAGTGTGATGTGTGCACAATTATACACAAATAATATCAATTATTTACCCTTATAACCTCACCAATCATGTCTACTTTCTAACATAAGATAATAGCAACATTAGCTTAATTATTTAATGGTCCAAAAAGAAGATGTATGTTCCAAGTCACAATTAAATGACTTAAAAAAGAATAATGCATCTCCTGGAAAGCCTGACTTGCAATGTTTTGGTCCCACCACATTGCCAGTTATTTTATTGGAAGTAATAGTTTTTATATACAATTTAAAGTACAAACAATAGTAAATCATGTTATATTGATATGACAACTACTAAGCAGCCTTCTCCAAAAAAGACCCAATACTTGGTTTTAACACAAGTCCAGCCTCTGACAGTGTAGGAATCAGCGCTCAGGTTTCCTGGGATTCATTGGAAATGATCTGACCCCCATTCAACAAACAAAGCTTTTAATAAGTGGATGTTGTCATGAGGACAAAAATCAACAAAGCTTGTGTTTTTACTTTTTTTACAAATCTGCAACATAAATCTGTTTCTTCAGCCGACTTGAGACGCCTAAGTTGCAAATAAATTACAAGAACATTTACTTATTTTTCATAATATACCGCTTAAATAAGCCAAAGTGAAGCTTCTGTGTGACTTAGGATACTATTAACAGTTAAACTAAGATGGAGTTGTAGTAAACCAGCAAATGACAGCCTTTTCTTTGCAGACATACTTGGAAGGCAATTTTCCATTCACATAGTTACTTCTGAATTTTCTTACAGGACTGTAAACAATGTAACACATCCAATCACAAAGCCTTGGCAGAGAGCTTACTAAACTGGAATTACTAAGAAGATGGCCATCATTCCTAGAGGCAGGGTGGTCAGAGGATTGCTGATGGGTTCTGAGATTGCCCGTACTTTAACCATCCTAAGAAGTCTTACACTTAAAACTGTAGAAAGCTAAAATATATAAAGGATTAGCAATAGGTGTAATGAAAAGGTTGTTGCATGTTATCTTGTGTTTGGAAGAGTGAGACAATGTGATCAGTGCTTTCTGGCAATATAGTAGGGAAGATCTTGTGACACAAAAACACAAAGGTATCAATAATGAAATCCACAACAATTATATTCATGTTGAATTTACAAAACTGCAATTTACACTTACACTGTGATTTAAGGACAATTTGTAACAACTGAAAAGTTGTGATAATGGTAAAGTTGTGTATGCTTGGGGCTCCACAAACCATATTCAATTCACCTCCATTGTACTGGAAGAGAAGTCTCAGAACCTGGCCAAATAAACCAAAATTGTTTGCATGGATATATGCTAATAGTAAGGAGGGAGAGATGTTTTGTATTTGTCAGTGTGTGGCCTATGGGGGTGTGTTGATGTACATGTGTGCATGTGATCTCTGTTAAAATAGAAATTTGACAATATGATATGGATAGTTCTACACCTGACAAAGCCATTTTTCTGGAGCTTTTGACAACAGTGAGAGATGTAGAAAGGTCAAAGTCAAA